ATGAAATGTATGAAGACACTTAACTTTCTTGAAGAGTCAGAAAGTAGTGCTTTTATAGATATTTTACATGTATAAATAATTATAATAAAGACTATTCTATTGCTAATACATACTATTTATAGTAATAAATATATATAAGAACTAATAGATATAATAGATATAATATATATAATAGATATAATAGATATAATAGATATAATAGAAATAATAAATCTGTTAGAAATAATAAATCTAATAAAAATGTAATATCTATAATATCTGTAAGATCTGTAAGATCTGTAAGAAATATGCTTATTAGAATCGTCTTGGTAAGCTGAATCTAATGGTAGTTGTTTCATTCAATTTGGTTTGGTACATCAAAAGATTTGGTCAAAAATGTAGAAAACTCTTAATGTTAACAATATACTGTATAATAAAAAAATAATATATAGAGATAAAAAGATGATTAACCTTAGTAAAAACATATTTTCTAAGAAATCAGTAATTTATCAGTTTTAATTGTTCTTAAATATAACATTACTGCCTTACTATTTTAGCTATCTATAGTTTATATTTATATAAAAGATAAGTCTGTCTCTATGACAGCTGTTGCCTTACCAATTCTGATGCTATATGCAATAAAATGATCTTGAATACCTGCATTTTTAGCAATTTGTTTAATAATAATACTAATAGTCTTAACAGTTAGCTGTTTTTTCTCTTAAACAAAAAGAAAGGTTTATTATTTGTAGTTTTTGGTCTAATATATAGATATTTACTTGTAATTTAGCTAGACAGTAGCAGCTATCTGAGTATTTAATAGGAATAAATTTCCTATTTGCAAACTAATTAGTTTTAAAAGAATTTATTTGAATCCAGCATATTTTCTTTCTGATCTTAATATTTTTACATTTAATTTTATATAATTTACCAAGTTAATGCATAGTTCTAAGTCCAATAGCTATAAAGGCTAAATTATAAATTCAGAACTCTTCATTAACATATAATGTCTATTATCAATAAAGTGTTTTAGGGCATCAATAAAAAGAGGTTACACAGCTATTTTGGTTCATTATCTTTTTTATGTTTATAATCCTTAATAGAATCTGATAGTTGTACTTTTAAATGTTTTTTTTTTGAAACTGTAGCTAGAATATCTGCACAATTTGAATAATAATATGTAAGATCAAGTTAAATCAAAAAAAAAAACTAGTGTATCTACTTTAGATAGCAGTGCTTCTAGACCTATAACTTTATAATAATTATTATAAAGACTTTAAGCTTTGTCAAAATGCTGATTTTAGCTATATAAAACTGAATTTTTTTATAAGTTCTGAGCTCTGTTAAATAATATATTGATTAATCTACCCTTACTGCTAGAAATTTGCAATTGGGATTCTTCTATAATTCTACTTTACCTAAAATTCTTTTTACAAATACTATCTTGAAGAGTGACAGTACTAGTACATTTGTTTGATTGTGTAACAAAGTTGGCTATCATTCCGCAAAGACCTATCTGAAGACAATTACTGTTGTTATAGTTCTTTCTTTTTAATATGCTACAAAACTCAATAAACTAAAGTCAAGAAAGAATACACAAAATTGGTTACTCCACATCAACTTTGAGCAAAGCAATTTATTTCTCTGAGTTGGAATAATAAAAGTAACTATTGAAGCAAAGAAGCTTTGTATTCTGATGGTTTGCCATTCAGTCTATTGTATAAAGTCTTCATCTCTCTTCTATGACTTCAAAAATTAATTGCTCTAGACAACAATCATTTGAATTTATATATCTGATTAGCAAGTCTGCTGAGTTTAATTTTGATAAAATTCAAAAAATCTTACTTATTCAAATATCAAACCTGTTCAACTGTTTCTATAGTCTTCTTAACAAATTCTTTTGCCATATTAGTTTTTCTTCTTTTACTACTATGCTAATAGCTCCTTAATTGTTAATATATAAATCTATCCAAGAGTGTTCTAGAAGTATTACAAAGAATTTTATTGCCAATATTACTGCTTTTGCTTCTAGTCTGGTAATTTCTTGGTATGACTTTCTTAAACTCCAATTTCTGAAGGCCCTATGTTTTTTAAAAATTGCTAATTAGCCTATTTTTAAAGTAGAATTCTGCAACCTGGGCTCATGCCTGTGCCTAACAAAAATCTTGGCACTGGCATGGCATAAAAATTTTGACATTAACTTGCCAGGTGCCTTTTAAATATAA